TTTGTATGACAATTATATTTTTTATATTATAAATATAAAAATAAAATTAACAAAAAAGAAATAATTAATTAGAAATAATTAAAGAAATAATCTTATGTGGTAATTATTTCTTTTTTGTTAATTTTATTTTTATATTTATAATATAAAAAATATAATTGTCATACAAATATAAAAAAAAACACTGACTAGTAGGAATAAATTGGTATTTAAGAAATACTTCATTATATATCAATTTTAGCTTTGTGAAGGAAACATGAGAGAACGCTTATTTTTTTAACAAGAAACAGAATGTCATCTTTTTGGCAAGTACTTTTGTAAACATTCTTGTCGCGTATTTTTTTTCAAAATATTCATTTTTGTATTTTTTAAATGTTGATATAAAAATAGGATTTTATGTTTGGTAAGATTTTCAATTTATGCTTATATGAACGATTTGTCATCGATATTTAAAAAACAATTTGTATGTTTTAATAAATTGTTTAGTTTTACGCATTCTGTATTTTTGTCGCATAATTCTTCAACATTCTTTTATAACTAACATTTATACTGGTATGTAACTTGTTAGAATACTGAAAAATTGTATTTTGTGATATATATTTAAATGTGTGCTTCTTTGTTCATTAATGTTAATGTATTACAAATAAGTTAGGCGGACGCACATATCAAAATGTACAAATGTAAATCGATGTTAATCAAAGCTAATTATATATAATACAAACTTCTGAAAAAAATTTGTAAAAAGATAATAAATTTTAATATATATTTTGAATTCTATTTTGTTAATTTTCCTTCAATAAAATTGAACGAAAGTTAATAATTGGTAAGTATTATTTCTTTATTTTTAATATAAAATATGTATTGAATTTCTACTAAAATAAAAATGTGGTTTTATGATTAATATATTGTCATTTCGAAAAATGATTGAAGTCATCAAGAAAATATGTGATAAGCTTTTATCAAACCTGCAACTCAAATTGAAGATATTGAAGATAAATTGAAGATAAATTGATAAACTTATGATAAATTACGAAATTCGAATTTGCGGTACGAAAAGGATAAGGATCAATAAAAACTGGAATATTTATTGCATTTTTTAATATAAAACAAATCGTATCGTATATATAAGTTATATGTACAATAATTGAAACCTTCCTTAAAGTGACATTTTAAGGCGAAAATTCAGTTGAACAGGAATCATTTTATTGCACATGGGCATAATGAAATATTACGATACTGACCTGATAAAATATTTTTTACATTCTCTTTGCCATCGTACAGATGTGAATCATTCGCAAATAAAATCTCGTTATCATTACACTATTCAAAAAACATGATTCGTCATTTACATTTCCATATGCAAAAAATAAAAAAACTTTAGATTTTGTCTTAACATAAAATAGACAAATGCCTCATTACATTTCTTCTAGGCGGGCTCCAATTATTTCGACGTAACATGATCATTTTAACATTATCATTCATTTGAACATGTTCAGGCGGGATCTTCCCCGGGAGCAGACGTGGAACTTCTCTGAGCTTCAATTTGAGTCCTAGTTTGAGAATTTCCCGTAGCGACAGTGATTTTATTCTGCGTAGCTAAACATTGTTGCAACTGCTGAAGCTGTAAAAACGGAACAAATGTTTCTTACCTTCTATTCAAAAGAATCGCCGATCCTCTCCAGTTATAGTTTACTTAACGTGTTTACTTAACGTGTATACGTAATGTGTGTAAAATTTTATTTTTTTGTCTCTCCCCTTTTGCAATTCGATAAGATACTATTTCATTTGTGCGGCCAATGTCTTAATTGATACAATAATAAATACATACTTGTTGCGGCGACAGAGTAGCTACCCCGAGACTTTGCGTCTGCTGGCTGCATTGGCCGGTAGAAGCCCTAGTGTGGAAGGATTTCGTCAATAGAGTTTGTTTGTTAACAGGTACTACTTGGGAAGAAGGCGTCGTCTGCGACGCCATAAGCACAGGTTTCGTTGCAGCTGCAAAGTAGAAAATTTATATTTATGACACTGTTGAATATGATGTAAAGTTGTAAGGGATAAAACTTTCGACCATACGATACATTTCCGTGAAATTCGTTTTCGTATTATAGCACTTACCCATTATAGGAGTTAATACTTGTTTGTTACCGGACAATATCAACTGATTCGCCGTTACTGTTTTGGCAACTGTCATCAGCTGGTTCGATAAAACAGCTGACTTAACTTGATTCGATTGTACTTGACGAGTCATATGATTAAGTCGCGGCCTTTGAGATCCAATGAGTTGGATTGCTTGTCCTCCCTAAAAACATATGTCACGTAAATTATTCTATTCTCAAAAACGCATTTCTCGCACAAAGCGTATTTGCATTAATTATATTATTAGAAGAATTAAGTTAGAAGTTATTTTTTAACAATTAATTTTACATTATAATATATGTCGTGCTATATGTAAAAAATTGCAGTATTCTAACTATTAGATTAATACCTGTGCAAGAGTTACTGCATTATTACTCCTTATATTTTGTTGCGATAGTCCTTTTACCCCAGATGGTATTATTTGGGCTGAAACGTATGCGACCACAATGAAATATTTGGATACTTGCATACATTAATTATTAACTTGCACACAGTAATAGAAAAAAAATCATAGAAACTTTATAGATGTCGACACGTATTTTATATATAAACAATCACGCCTTAAATCTTTGGTTAAAATTTCTAAAAATCAAACATTTTTATATTATGCTTAAAAATTATTTTTTGTAACTGTGCAAAGTACAAAAAATTTATAAAAGGACAAATTTAAATGTAAAAGATACTCAAACAGCAGAATGCATCTTACCGATTGGTAAAGACAGATGAGCATTAGCAGGATTGGCAATCACCACGGTTGGCGTACTGCCGGCTATAGTCGTCGTAACAACAGTCGCTGGAACCATCTGAAAATAACGCAACATTATAACGATGCTTACAGAATACTCATACACGCATTATTTTGCCTAGAAATTTTCTCGATACAATAAATATGCATACAGTCGACTTATATGAACAAGATAAAAATTTATATCTTCCACAGGTACATAAAAAAAGAAGCAAAAGAAGTTCATTTTTGTGAATCCAATAAGAGCGTTCAATTTCGAATTGCTCTGCGCCGAAAGAATTCATATCATACAATGACTTCACATCGTTTACGTAATTAATTATTTGTTTATCCGAATGAGTTGATACCAACACTCGAGACTGTTGTGCAGGTATTTGTGGCGGACGATATAGGGAGAGAGACAATGACCCCAGTGGGAGTGACAGTGGCACCGGTGGTCGGCGACACGTTCAACGACATTGTGATGGGCTGCGATAAGCCCGGGAACGAGACCTGAACATTTTGCAGACCGTTGATTGAATTCGGCAGACTAGTGAGATTTACGCCTTGTAGATTCACATTAGTCGGCGAGGGGCTAGTCATCGGACTAGCTGGCTGGCTGCTCTGACTGGAAGAAGCGGTGAGCCGTTCGAGCAGCGACGAAGTCGAGTTCATTCCAGGTATCGGATTATCCGCCGACGGCGTGCCTGTTCAAATAAATCGTCTGTTATGTTACGTCTATTATATTACTGACTAAAAGCAGATGAGATGATTAATAGATAATGTTAAATAATATTATACTCGGATAATAGTAGAGTGTCGTGCAAATTATATTTTATGAATTTTTTCGGATTTCTTGAATATTAAATTTTTTGTTATATATAAAAATGTGACCTTTATATAAATTTAATATTCAAGTTTTAATAGAATAATCAAATTAAAAAATAATAAAAAATCGGATTCAATGTTAGACGAAAAAGTGTGTAAAAAAAAAGTAGTGTAAAAAAAGCTTACAACATATTTCCTTGCTGTTCTCGCATATTTTTAACCTACAGATATCGTTCACTTTACCAGCAAGCAATGCCGACAGCCCTGGCATTGATAAACCAAGTGTAGACGTGGGATCCTGAACTCGCGCAAGTCTTACAGCAGTCGCTTTCATCGGTTGTTGCTTACAACCGAGCTGTCCCGTTAAAGCGGAGTTCAAGTTTAATCGTACCTAAAATGATCAAATGGACATTTAATATTGAAATAATTTAATTATTTTATTTAAATATTATATTATTTAATGTGTAATCGAAATGGAGATTCGTTTGAATCAAATTGTGCTAAATTAGTGCAACAATTAAATGCAATGGAAATTAACGAGTTATTTCTTAATCATTAAATTATTTATTAGACATACTTGGCCTGTGGTGCTGGGCACATTAATCACATTGCCATGACTAATAACTCTGGGTGGGATGGAAGCATTGAGAGAGATCCTTCGAGGTTGAACTTTCTGCTGAGCTAAATTCGCAGGAGTGCTATTTAACAAATTGAGGATAGCGGCGTTGTTAGACTTATTTGTAGCTTGCACATTGTTGTTCATAGCTGCGGCGGCAGCGTTGGCTGCAAAATACATGGAACACAATGTCGATTACAAATCTAGAAAATGTATGTTCATGGATCAAATATGCGAAAATATGCGCGTCTGTCTAATTTCTTAAAATTCGCAGTGTAAAATTCGCCCAATCTGCAAGAATAGAAGTACTTTGTCCAGTTGCATGCAAATATAGGTATAATCTTTAATTCTACATATTAATTTCATGATGTTATTTAATTATATAAAGAATAATTTCGAGTTTCTTATAAGAACGTTGTGCGTGTAAAAGTTCAAAATACATGTATACATATTTAAATCATACTAATTTTACAAAGCGATAGCAAACCTGCGGCTTGTTGTTGTGTGAACTGCTGCGCGGAATTCATGAGGGAAGTGACAAGAGCATTTATCGCCGGGTTAGTCGAGTGTTTCTTGAACGGCGGCTCATTTTGATTCTGATTAGCCGTCTCACCTATACAATTCTGCGTTCCCGCTTGCAACTGAGCTTGCTGTAAATTTAAAATAAAAAAGAATTAAAAAATAAACAGGTAAAAAATAAAAATCTTCGGCAATTCTGAAATTAACGCAATATTGTGATATTATCGATAATACATTCGCACTTTTCGCATTAATACATGAATTCAAATTTAACGTTTCTTACGAGATGTATAAATAAAAAAAAAAGGTGAATAAAAACTTACTAAAACTGGAACATTGGTAGATGCCGCATTATTAATGGTGCCAGCCGACTTCTGTTGAAAGACCAAGATACCAGAACCGTTATAGGTGTTGTCCGTTATTGTCATCGCGGAATTATCAATTTGCACGGAAGTCGACGCGTTGGGGCCGCCATTGGCCAGAGATTGTCCTACGCTCAATGCGGTAGCGTCGTTCTGCGGAATAACCTGCGGCATATTCGCCGGATCAACGCACGTCAGATTATTTTGTGTGGAGGCGGTGGTTACTTGACCAGCCAATGTGTTCAATTGCCCTTGAGCCCGTGACAGAATCTGAAATGACGCGCGAACTTGCTGGAAATTTTTACACGGCTGTTATAAAATCGTAATGAAACATCAATACACTTCTCGGCATTCAAAAGAGACGCTTGTCTAACTTGTGGAAAAGCGGCAAAGTGAAATTACAAACCTGTTGTGTCACGTGTTGCGATTGAGCTTGCTGCAGCTGTTGAACTGAAAATTGCGCCGCTTTTGCTTGTTGCGCCTAAAGAGACAGTTGGGAAAAAACCGTGAAAAGAAAGAAAACGTGAAAGATATAGCAATTAAATATACATCGATAAGAAGTGCACACCTGTTGATGTGCTCGCTGCATGCCAGATGGACATGCCACGCGTGGAGCTTGGCCTGGCACAATATGTTTTATTCGCACATTCTTCCTGCCGTTCTCCGTGAGTATATCTTTAAACTGCTGATAATAATAATTGGCTACGGATCTGGTGCCTAATGTAAACCTGGAAGACAAATAGTGCCACATTATTAGCAAATAATTATTCTCTGCGGAAGTGGAAACTGCTTATATTAATAATAATATGCACCGGCAAGAAGATCCGTTTTTCTCTCCATCCCGAGGATTTTTGTCTATAAAAAGCTCTCCCAGGTACTCGGAAGTAGCGGGTCTCTGCAGGATCGAGAGCTTTATGTAATCCTGACTCTCCGCAGGCTCTAATATATACTCTTCTATAACTTGTGGCGAACAGTCTTTTGTTTCTCGTGGCCGCTCGTATGCTTTCGCGTATCTGATAAAAACCACTCGTTGATTATTCGTTGATTAGGTTTCACGGATATCTCACAACCGTAAAGGAATCGTAAAAAGAAAGGTGTAAACTGCAAATAACACGAAAAAAAGAAAATGCCTTTAATAACCTTAAGACTTCGATTGGTGAAGACGGTGGAAGCAGAGGGGGGTTTGTAAAAGAAGGCGGTGGGCAGGCAGTGCTTGTCGCTAATCCCCTTCTTTTCGCACGCAATTTCTGCATTAATTCGTGTATCGGTTGTCCATCCGGGGGTGCCAATTGTTCCAATTTTCTTTTTCGATTTACTGTGACCTGATATCAAGAAACAATGTCCTTTGTGATATCTATCTTTACTTCATGCAAATTATATGTGGCGCGTAGCAAAGCGGTGCAAAAAGATATATATGTCGGCTAAATAAAATTGTTCAAATTGCTGCTCAAATTGGAAGTCCGAATTTAATAAATATCCATTGTATAGAATAAATTTTTAATAAATCATAAAAATATCTTCTCATACAATATTATTTTTTTATATAACTTTTTTATATTAATATTTGAATATAATTTTTTGGCATTCAATGAATACTTTTTGCAGTTAGATCCTCAATTTCATTATTATTATTATTTCCTATAAATATTAGACTGTGTTAATAAGATATATGAATAATCAATATCTTATTTTAATCCACGAACAAGAAACGTAGGTTTCAGATTGAAGTATATTACCTGAGAGAACTTTTTGGCTTGTCGCATGAGCTGGTGATCGGTAAGCAATGATTTAGACTGTTTAATTCTTGTACTAGCTAAAGTTGGAACAGGATTCGGATCTAGGCATAAAGGACCCTGGGTAGCTGCCACCAAATGGGATTCCAACATTAACCGTTCCTCATGGCTCCAATCTCCACTGCTTGTAAGTGTCGACACATCTGAGAGTACACTCTGCAAATAAATGCAATTTTCAAAATTGAACTTTGAGCATTCACACGACAAACTACTTTGATTGGTATGTCGCATTCATTTTGTCGTGTTCTATTGATTTCATTTGATCGCTAAATCTTACCTGTGTTGTAGGTTTAAGAAGTACATGATGAATTTCGGCTTTATTGTGAGGAAATGCCTTTCGATAATCGCGAACTTCAGCAATTATGCAGCCGTCATAAAATAAATGTGAATAATTGTATTCTAATTGTTCAGCTAGCATAGCTGGCAGTTGGCCATTATCTATACATGAAAGTAATTCACCCTGTTCGTAACCCATGAGTTGAGTCTCAGCTAGCAATGAATTTTTGTCGTATTGATTCCCCTTATCACTGTTGAGAACAAAAAATCTCTGGGTTAGGAATCAATTCCAAATAATTAAAGTTAATACAATAGATTATCACATGTGTGAAATGCATTTTACTTTTCCGACATAAATACTTAAAATCTGAAAGGATTAACATTTAATGTTATAACGATTTTGAGGCATATTCACATAGCAACATTAACGCTAAAAATAAACTGCCACGGAATTAATTTAGTGAAAAATCGATAATGTAGTTGGTTATTTTATATATACATCGTAAATTTTTGTGATATTATCATTAAGTAAGTAAATACTGTCGCTATAATTCAGCATTTCAATAATTTTAAAAGGATGATTTATATATTTGAAGATAAAGATGCTTACCTATTTCTTACAGCTAATGAGTATCCTTTATTACCAGCATAGAGATTAACAATTAATGTATGTAACCCTTCTCTTTGCACTAATCGCCCCAAAAGATCACACTCATTCTCAAGATTGTACTGTACGGAGTTTAAAATAAACTGTTATATTGAGCCCGTATATAAAAATACAAACATTGGTGATATTTTTGTAAAAAGGAATTTAACGAATGAATGTTTTAAAAATAAACATACCAAAACTGAATCTGGGGTTGCATGAGGAACTTTGTAAAGTTCTTCAAAATAGAGTCTCGTGAGTTTTGATTGGATACTATGCCTGGAGTGACTCTGTTCCTTTTTCTGAGATTTATCCAACGTTAAGGCCAATGAATTCTTCCAACTTTTGGGCATTTGATTAACCATATCCTGTGCAAATCACGCGATGGATAAACACGTTAGTAAGCGTAAAATCATAAAACAATGATTTGTAATTTGTTCATTATGCTGAGGGGTTGCAATCTTCGAGAATTTTATTACATACCTGAGCCTGCCAACACGCATCTTCCAAATTACAGGTTGTACCAATCATTGTAATTTCTGATTATTGATGCTACTTAATGTCATATCTGATGCGGTAATAATTGTTCATATTCTGAAATATATTCCTTCAAATATTATTTTTATTCAACTAAACTATGATTAATTGATATATTTTGTGTTAAACATAAAATACAAAGTTGATAATATTATAAATATTGTTAAATTATTGAAAATTTAATCCATCAACAATCAATATTCCATTCTTGTGACTAATAATAAATAATCTTTTCCTAAATTTTCAGTATCCAATTTCCAAATGTTAAATTATTAATTGTTCGTAAATTTAATATAAAATGTTTATAGAAAAGATATGCGAGAATAATTATTACATTAATGAATTAATTATAATTGTAGATGTTACCAATGAGTAAAGTTGAGAAAAGAGACATTATTTCAACAATAATGTTCCACAAAAGATAACATGATTTTTTTCAACTCTGTATTTTTTGTGTTAAAAGCAAGAAAAATATATTTAAGCATTGAAGAAAACAAGAAGAAAAAGAAACATAATGTAGCAAATACAATTACACAAATCTGCAGTTCTAAATAAAATATGCATATATATTCTTATTTACGTATATCTTAAATTTTATCAGATAAAATTTTTTCTAGTTAACTAAATATTCAACTTTATTTAACTAAATTTCCAAAAGTCAGCTTTGTTTTTAGATATTTGCTTTTGTTACCTAAAATTAACATTTACAAGCTCATGAAACATAAATAAAATAATGTTCATGAAACATTAGTAAACTGCAACGTAAGTTTCATAGATGCTCCAAGTTTTGACATGCAGACATGCATAAATATTTTTGTTACTATATTATTAAATTTATTAAATTCATAAACTATTTTCATGCATTGTGACTTAGAATATAAATGTTAAAAATAATAACAAGCAATAAAACAAAACTATGTTAGTGCATCATCAGGAAGTCATAAAACAACTCCACATGTTTACTAACTACATCATCTCATCATCATAAGATGTTTTACTTAATCAATCTTGAAAGATAAACGTATACTGGCTATTTTATCATAAATTTCTCTCCACAGATCATAAAAATATCGAGAAATCACGAATAAAAAGCAGCAAATCGGTTTATTGTATACACCTCTAATGGACAAGCAATTAATAACTACCGACGACCAATTCACATAATTGACACTATTCTACTACTAACACACAATCGAATCGCCCTTTTAATCGCCGTAAAATCTTTCTCCAAATTTTTGCAAAACTCGAGGAATCCCGCCGTATTCATGCACGTTCGATGAGGCTAATTAGCGCCTATCTCATCGACGTGAGGGATATATCGGTGGTGGAGGATTGATAAACAAGCGGGACTGTCGTCGCGTGATTGACCACGCGGGGAACAAATTGGCGATTCGCGGAGATGAGGAACACGATGTGGACACCAAGCACTTGGTTCTACAGCGGACGAAAACAAGCAAAAGGCGCGATCGAGCGACAGCGCGAGAGAGCGCACGAAAAGTAGGGAGGTTAGGTTCGGCAGGTCGCGGGAGCGTGCGGTGGCGGCGACGGCGTCGCGGCGCGGCATCGAGACGCGCACGGCGCCGCGCCGATCGCGGTGAACGGACACGGATCGCGATTTACCCTTGCCGAACCGAAAAAAAGAGGTCCGACGGTGAACCATCGGCTGTATGCGTGATGGGCGCACGTCGACCTCAGTTCGGCCTGCATGTCATAACCTCACCATCGTGTTCGCTCGCGAAGATCGGTCGGCGTACGAAGCAGTCGCAACGTGCGAAGAGACGGGTGCCGTAAAACTTGTTCGTACCTGTTCTCGACGCGGGGTTCACGACGGCGTACGCGTCAGTGAAGCTCACTGTTTGCTCTGACACGATATTTACAAGCAACAAACGTCATTTCGCCGAGAGCGCAGTGTAACCTACTATACAAACACCGCACAACCACAGACTAACCACAGACAGGAGGGGAGAGGGGAAACTTCATATCTTACACTATTCTAGACGCAACCGATTCGCGTTTCTCTTGTTAAGCCGCCCCCGCATCAACGTCACACGTGAATGAATCGGTGTGAATTATGACTTAATTAAGTTTCAGAAACTGCTTTTGTTGATCAATCGAACATTGTGTAGCGTATTTATTTATTTAACAATCTTGTATTAATCCTTGACACGTGTCAAACACTTGGATAGGTATCAAAACTCTCTCACTACTGCGACATTTACCTTAAGGTATTATAGATGCAGAATACATGTGCAAGTTGTGTAATTTTTACATAAGATGGCACTCCGATCACATTATCGGCAAGTAAACATGAACTGTCATTGCGACGTATCTAAGAATTAATACTTCATGATCTTTGACGACTAACCATCAATTGGCTCCGCGTTCAAAACACGGTTGATCCTCGTGGATTAAAAAAACGCGTAATGTTTCAATAAATTGGCAAGTGTCTGATCACGTGATTGTGCCGACGAAAAATTTCGTAAGTGTCCAATAAATTTGTGGCAGAGCGTTCACAGAAAGCGATTCACACGATCAATAGTGATCGGTCGTTTTTACAGTGCAATCCATCGTTGCTGAATTCCTCTCGTGCAACAATTCCTCGAACGTCTGAAATTTCTTCGCAAGCCAGCACGATTTTCTCGTCCAGAAAGTCGAGATTATGATATCTCTTCAATCACACAATCAGGTACGCGCTTCCAATGTCCTACACGTATCAAATGTTGCATTACATCAGCAATGTTTGATACTGTATCTTTCATATCTCTTGTATATAATATAGATGTTTTATCGTCCTTGAAGCAGTCCAAAAAAATATTCTATCTTCTATTAAATATTGACATTCAATTCTCTTTATCTGTAGTACCTAAAATGTTTCTTTTAAATTACAGACAAACAGAACAGAAATGTACTACAATTACGACATAACGTAGATTTATCTCTCTCTTACTTCTGTAATAATACAAAATATTTGTGTCATAAATTAATGTAGTACAAAATCTTAATCAATAATTGACTTAAAATTTTAGTAGCTTTGATGCAAAGTTTCTAATTTTAACTAATTGTGTATATAAACTATTTCTAAAGAATTAAATTTTTTTCTGCTTTTTATTTCTGTCAAATTTAAGAAATATATAGATTATGCAAACGGTGATTTGAATGTTTAAACAATTTTGGATTTTTAGGTTTTATACCATCTAACACAGTTGACCTTGGCAGTGACTCCTAGGACAACTTCATATTCTGTCCAAACTAAGAAACAAGATGAGTCTTCGCAAAAGAATACAGAAGAGACAATTTGCCGGGATAGTCTTGAAGAGGTATTCTATAATACTTATTTTTATGTAAATGCAGCCAAATATATATATATAATATATATATATAATTAATAGTACAGTTATAAAATTATCCAAGAAATATATAAAGATCAATTATTCTAAATAAAATTGCAATTTTTGTTTTACTCTTGTTTTATTTGTAATAAAGTTGTGTACACAAGTGGAATAATTTGATTTATTTTAGGCGGCGAAAAATTGTACTGAACTACCAAAAATGAATTTGAGCGCTTCAAATGCGTTAAGAATGAAAAAGAATAAGGTGTGCGTAATATTAGACGATATAACTATTAGTGTATTTAGAAGACCTTTAGAAGAAAATAAGTGGAGAGTGTCATATTTGTCTGGCCTAAGTTTTGCCGAAAACAAACGGGACTTTCCATGCTCCTCGTTGACAGAGCCTGTCATTCTACCTGTCATAAATCTAGCATCCAGCAGACAGCAACACAGACTGTTACATACATGGTATGCCAAAACGCTACACAATCATATGCCAATTCGTACATTCAAGTCTCAGCGTAGTTTAAAAATGGAATTGGAGCAGAATCCAACACTTGTGAGCAGAATAAAGAAGTGGCTTGGATTATCTTCTAATCTTAATGTGGTATAACATATTTATTCAAACAATTTGACAATATTAGGATCACACAATTTAGAGTAAACCATTTTATACTAATTGATTTTATTTTATTATTGTAGGGTTTGGTGCAAGAACCAAAGAGTTCGGATTACGAAAAATTAAAACAGATTTTCAATAACACCGAGGCAACAATGGACGAGCAGAAGAGAATAAAAATCGCCTTTGTAGAGGGATACGAGTCTGGATTGCAACGGCAGATGCGAGGTCGAACAATTTGGCTGAAGGTCATGCAGAATATAGTAATTGTTTCTGCAGTTATGTTCATAATCTGGGCTTATCGTACGTATGAAAAATCATTACTACTTTTCTTCCACGACAAGTTTTTGTATTGATTAAATTATTTATGTTATGCAGTTAGCTATCCAGGAGGAGGAATATTCAAGCTTCCTATGAGTCATAGAATAGAAATTGATCCTGAGGACATTAATGTTACTTTTAATGATGTTAAAGGAGTAAGAAATTTCCTTCAACTTTTTCAAATATCAATCTTTGTTATTATAACGTTAAATTAATTTCTGCTTGTCTGAATCTTCTAAAAATTCCTTTAGGTAGACGAAGCAAAACAGGAGCTGCTGAATGTGGTGGAATTCCTAAAGAATCCAGACAAATTTTCCGCCCTTGGCGGAAAATTGCCGAAGGGAGTGCTATTGGTTGGCCCACCAGGAACGGGAAAGACATTATTAGCCCGCGCCGTTGCTGGAGAAGCTGGTGTACCGTTCTTCCATGTGGCAGGTCCTGAATTCGATGAGATTCTTGTCGGCCAGGGTGCCCGGCGCGTCAGGGATTTGTTCAGTGAGTTGAAAACATAAACTGAAGAGGATAAATTTAACGGACAGCACGAAAACAATAAATACATTGCGACGCCAAAATTATTGCAGTTGTGCCAACTTTCTCTGTGCTTTTGCAGGAGCGGCAAAAGAAAAGGCGCCATGTGTCGTGTTTATTGATGAGATCGATTCCGTAGGTGCAAAAAGAACAAACTCGGTTCTTCACCCTTATGCGAATCAGACGATTAATCAATTGCTCTCTGAAATGGATGGGTGAGTTTCTTAACATAATCATAATCTCGCAACTCTTATATAATAAAGATGAGATGTGTAGGTCTTAATATAACTTTTGAAATTTAATATAAAACTTTCTATTTTACTTAAAACATTTGTTATTTTTTTAGCTTCCGCCAGAATGAAGGTGTTATAGTTCTTGGTGCTACAAATAGACGCAAGGATCTTGATAAAGCACTAATGCGTCCTGGCCGTTTCGACGTTGAAATTTACGTTAACAAGCCTGACTATCTTGGTCGTAAAGAAATACTAGATCTTTACTTATCCAAAATATTGACGCATGACGTCGATACAGTTTATTTAGCACGCTGTACGACAGGATTCACCGGAGCCGATCTTGAAAATATGGTAACGAATATCAATTCATAATAATGTATGGTTCTTCTTACAACATATCGTGCTGATTTTATCTACAGATTTTTTTTATTAGTCTAGTTCTTCCCTTTTTCTATAATTTAAAAATACTGAGAAGCAATTTTGTCTATTAGCATTTTTGAAATAAACTATTGAACCTTAAATTTCTTGATTTTTGGAAATTATCAGCTAAGTAATAAATCGATAATTCCATCGTATTATAGATAAATCAGGCTGCGCTACGTGCAGCAATTGACGAAGCAGATTGCGTCACCATGAAGCACTTGGAGTATGCTAGAGACAAGGTGCTAATGGGTCCCGAGGGTAAATTAAAGTTACGCGATGAAGAAGTAAATCGTATCACAGCATACCACGAAGCAGGACATGCTTTGGTGGCATTTTATACAAAGGATGCTACCCCACTTCATAAAGTTACTATTGTACCACGAGGGCCATCATTAGGTCATGTATGTAGCTAATTTGTCATCGATCGTAAGAGATCGATTATTTCTTTACAAACTATTCTCCACAAAATTTCTTCTTTATTGCAATTTATGTCATTGAAATGATTGTTGAAATTAATCGTAGTTTTAGTTCTTTTTTAAGTATTTTTAATTGTATTTAATTTTTGTATTTATTAATATGCAAATTATATATTTTAGACTTCTTATATGCATGAAAAAGACGTTTATCACATCACAAAGTCGCAGTTGTTAGCAAATATGGATGCTATGATGGGTGGCAGAGCTGCTGAAGAGTTAATATTTGGTCCGGAAAAAGTAACGACTGGAGCTTCTTCTGATTTAGTGGTACGATTTTCAATCTCGTAATTTTTTGAATTTTATTTCATAAAGCTCTTTCGGTTTAAATATCATATAAGATCTATTAAATTTTTAAATTTATTAAATCTAGAAAATTTTAGTAGATTTGGAGTTTAATTTTTATACGTTATTATATAATTCATAAAAAATTTCTAAGAATATTATAAATTAGATTAAGTAAAGAAACATATATCTAATATCTTTTTACAGGAGGCAACAAAAGTAGCGGAGATGATGGTGAAAAGTTATGGAATGTCGGATAAGGTGGGATTGAGGTCAATGATAGAGAATAAGAAGCTTTTCAGTAACGACAACACGTACGCGCCAAGCACGAACGAGCTTATCGACAACGAAGTAAAACGGTTATTGCAGGTAAATTTTTTGTACTAAAAATAACAACTAATTTCTACCGGAAAAAAATTTTTACTTAAAAAAACTTTATTTAAAAACCAATGAAATTATTGATTATAACGCTCCTTCTTATTCATAATTTACTAAATCAGTATTCTTTTTATAGGAATCCTTCGAGCGCGCAAAAACAATCTTAAAAACACATGCGAAAGCACACAAGCAGTTAGCAGAAGCGTTATTGCAATATGAGACATTGGATGCGGGTGATGTGGCTGCTATAGCAAATGGTAAATAAAATGTAATATGCAAATTAATGTAGTATAACTGAAGACAGAATAGTTTCTCATATGTAAATATGCGTCAGCAATATAATATTCATAAATTGATATTCGTAAATTACTAGTTTTATTTGACGTTATTTCAGAAACAGGATTTAGTAAACGAGAATCGTCTGTAGATACGAAGAGATCGACAAAGGGATCTCAATCCTAACGCGATTATTTGAAAATAAATTTATCGAGAAGGTAAGAAGCAAATGTATAAAATTCGCACAAATGATTTCTGTATTTTGTACGAAATCCATAATATGAAATACACTTGAGAGGCAAATCGCGATACCCGAGTTTTTTTTTAATTTCCTTTTAAACAATCCCATTTTTTCGATATTTAATGCAAATACAATTAATGTCACATTACTTAATTATACTAATTTATATTAAAAATAGATGCTGTTGCTATTATATTAAATATCTGGCAGGTTAGAAATAAATAAATATATATATTTATATTGTTTGTGAAAATTTCTTTAAAAAAATACATACTAAATTTATTAATTAAAAATTAATGCATATTATGCATTTTCATTTAGTTTTTTATCCTTAATTTAAATTTAAAATATTAGGTAATATTTTTTGCTTAAAGCAAAATAAAAAAATCCTTTGTTACTCCGTATGTGCTTTACAAACAACAATGTGTAAAAATAAATTGTTTTGTTTATGCCTTATTGTCTCTACTTTAAAACGATAGATATTTTTTTTTAACATGCAATAGTACCTATTTTTCAACGAAATGTTTATTGTTATTACATGTTAGCTTTGGTTAATTCATATTAAATGTCGTGAAAAAAAACGCCAACAATTTGCTTGAAAATTTAAATAGATATGCGCCGAGAGCTTCGTACTTGTTAGTACAGCATTTTTAAATGAATAGCAAAAACAACGACAAAAAATACATTCAATCAAAAAATTGCATTTTTCGACCGGAAAATTTATCTTTTTCTTGCAGTTTCCTCTTCCTGTCTATTTAATAAAAATTTTAACTTACTCTTCTCGAAACAAAGTGAAACTCACCGAGATTACCAACAGGAATTAATTATTGACAATTTCGTCTTCCCTTTGGTGGCCCTTGGGATCCATAATCGAGGAATTGCAAAATGCTCGGCGAGAGTATGGAAATATACGGAAATATACGGAAAACATAACTGGAACTTTAATCTATCACTGAATAGATATTATAAATTATACTGATTATGTATATATATACATATACACATATATGTACATATTTATATACATATATCTCAAGACTTGTGTGTTATTATTTTATCCCTTGTCACCTCTTTAATATCTATAATAATTAAAAATTTTACGTTATATCTTTCTGCAGACAATTAAAATTTACTCAACAATCGAAAAATGTATCAGGAAAATATCATTCCTTGAGCAGAATCGCCGAACTTAGCACTCTAACGTTATTTTTTGCTGAACTGATGTGCGACTGATTTGGAAATGTTTTTTTAGAACTTTAAAAATTTTTTTTAACATGTCTGTATCAAGTAAATATGTGTGATATATTGCTATTTTTATATAAATATTATTCCATCGCAGCGTGTTATTTCGGTGATTTTTTTCCTTTAATGAAATGATTTTTATAATATTGTATTTCATATTCGTGTTATTCTAAGAACGGTATATATTATAGTAATCGTGTACATCGGAGAATACAAAATAGAATGTCAAATAATCATTGCAGTACTTCAATTAAGGTAACGTAATGTTACGGTCACGATATGTTTGTGTTTACTTATCATGTTCACGTATGGGATCCGTGTACGAAGATGCATATGTGCAATGTTTGTGTCGTACCGCGAATTCATTGCATTTTTCTGCACAAGCTGACATGTATCGGGGGTGTCATTGGGTGATCGTGAATTAGAGAGACAAGTGATTGCAATTAGTGGTCTTTTCACAATTGTATTCATGCGAGCGAATGATGCGACCAAGCGTGTCTAAAGTGGCTCGAATGTAATCAGCGTAGTGAATCAATTTTGCATTGATATCACGATGAAACGGTATATACTGAGATTTATATTAAATAAAAAGCTTGCTATACATACAATTTCTGACACATGTGTCTATAAAAATTATTGAAGCAACACACCGAATTCAATTAGCAATACACTTAATTTCGTGAATAAAAAGGAGTGGGTTTTTAATCTTTTAGAAGAATGTATATATATATATATATATATATATATATATATATACCGTCTAGAAAATACTCACTATGGTTGCAGAAAACAATTAAAAAAACACTTATTATAGTCGTGTACGTATAATATACATACCGTTCTTATATTTGTCACATTCGTAGATTCGGCGCGCCGACCAACATTAATTATTCTACTAAAGGGATTAATTTTAATTTTATTAATATTTCGCGAGTCACTTAATACATGTTTCTAGGTTTATAAAACATGCTTAAAGCCTCAAATAAAGTTTATTACAATTTGCCGTGACTCCTCCATACGTCATTATCGACCCGCAAACTCGATCAGAATCCCAAATGATCCCCGAGTAATGGTGCAACTGACCGACGTCAGTGACCCCTAGCTCCAGTGTCACATGACTCTTGGATTCCAAAGCACGTGTAGCGATGGAAATAGCTATTCACCTGATCGTAGTAATGGGATAGCGTAATAGCTAATAATAACTTCCGCGTTCCATATGTACACACGCATACAGGCGCGCCGCGCTCATAGACGGTGCCGTACGCACAATTTTCAAAACGCTATAACTCGGTAAAAAATTGACGTAGCGACGTAAACCAAAATGGGATTTTCTATGCTCCGTGTTCTGCAGATGCTTATGCTCAGTAAGTATGCTCCTATCATGGCACGTATTTATGAGTATACTTTCGTCGTATAAAACGATGAATTATAAAATATAAAAGAGCTTAATCTGACGAGAGTACATAATTATTTATTTATTCGTAAATAATAGTTCATGTTTAGTTCTATTTAAATACCAGAATTTTAAGTGGCAGCTTTTCTCGAGCAGAGTTGTCATTTCTCGAATTAAAGCTAACCTCGAGTTAATAGCCATTTTCGAAAAATAATAGTTCTATATTTGCTATTAATATGAAAAGAACTTATCTCTGAATGCAGTGTTTTTGCAACATTTCACTCTGTAATAATAACTTTTTCTCTAATATTAAAGTGACATTTTCTCGTAATTTTTTCCCTTATATTTAAAAAAAAACTAAAATTAAAAGAACTAAATTTGAATCGCTATCATGAAAAATTTCATGTCCATGGAATCGCTCCAACGATGCTCGTAACGATATAATATATGTAAAAGTATTTGCACGTTTTACACAATTTTATAGATTTTGGCGCTCAAAATGTATGTGACGAATATCGTGTGCTTGTGCATTTGTATTTATTAATTTTCCAATTTTTCAAATTACTTTTTTCTTTAAACAATTCAATTATTCTATTTTTGAATCACGAAATAAAGTGTTTTTACATCCTTCTACACTTCAGCAATCATAATTTATATTTCAATCTCGAAGAAACAGGTTTCTGCTTTTTTTTTTCCAAGTAATATCAGAAAAATTCGGTCAACGCTGACGCGAAAAATTCTCCGACGATTACCAGCGTCGTTTCGACGACACGTCCAGTTGCGTTGCGATTCGCGCGGGAAAAGCGCGCGATTTACGCGTTTCCAAAGTTTGCGCCAGGGCTTTAGTATCGCAATTATATCGGGCGTTGGAACCGGAGATTGAGTCGGGGCTCATAACTCTCGTCGGTCGTAACGTTCAGCTGCAGGCCGTTCGTTCGGCCGTGCCTGCATTTCATAGGCCGCCAGATGTTACGCGCCTACATATCAGCGGCCCACCACTTCACGTGCGCGGTACGTACGTATTCATTACTAAATTACAAGCAATGCGAGCGAACGCTATGATGCGACGCGGCTGTGCGGAACAGAGGCTGCTGCGTTTCAACCGCGAATCGCCGATGGCACGTAAAACAACGTCGGGCAACGTCGAGCTCTGTTTGTTCACCCACGACGGAAAAGCCCGCGGCATTTACAACCGCTGTTCTGCATAATGTAAGATCGTTTTCCACTCTTAACACGTCCATTAAGTGGATTAACGAAGTAATGCATAAGTGATATATTGGACGGGGTGCACATATGACTGTGTGTGCATTAAGTGTGTGCGATAACTAAACGCCGTTTTAAGTCCACAGAGCTTTCGAATATCGAAATTAAATTCATTGTACTTGTGTAATGAATGTTTGAGAATGTTTAACAATTTCTTTCTCGTTTTGCCACTGTCTTCTGAGCAGTTGTGTTAATATAAAAAAAAAAATCTTTTTGCAAGTCACATTTTTATATTTAATTTATATTTTATCATTTGACGTATTTTCTCTTAGACTTGTATCTTCGCCAAATTATGATAATCTCAGTAAACAGTAATCAATCATCCGTGAGAAATAAGGCAAGCGAGCAGACGATCAATTCATTACTTAATTGAATTTCGGCTTATCTCGCTCGAGATTACCCCTCTTTCAATTTCCCATCGTGGAAAATTGCCCGCGTCCCTAAAACAATCCCTAAACAATCCAAATTAATTCGAGCGGATGCGCGATGATCGCGTTTTCTGCTCGCGGATAAATCGCGGCGGGCAAGGGGGGGAAGAGAGAGAGAGGAGGGGAGGGGGAGGGG